GGGCTGATCTTCCTCACAAAAAAAAAAAAAAGACAACATACGTTTTTTTAGTTCTTTAGGGCTTATGATGTGTTTCTACATGCACGACTTTAGTTAATACTTCAGCAACCCTTGGAAATACCTGCGGAGTCTGAATACTAAAAGGGAAAGAAAGGGCCTAAGCGGGTAGTGAATCCAAGACTAGAACCCATGTCTTAATTCTCTTTCCTTTCACCTGTCTCTCAAATTTCTCCATAAAAGTAAGAGTGAGGGAGGGAGAATCCTTGGGAAGAACAGCTGGAGAACTGACAACATCTGTGCAAGAAGAGGGTGAGGCTTCTAGAGAAAAAGAGGAGGTCTTCTCTGAACCAGTAGACATTTGATGGGAAAGGAAATGTAGAAAAGTACAGAGGATACAAAACACCTCTGGAAAATGAGGTGACAGAACAGTGAGATTGGGAAGAGAATAAAAAAGTGGTTGGCAGAAATGCATCTACACAATAAAGAAAATGATGCTAGGGCTGGCCCAGTGGCGCAAGCAGTTAAGTGCGTGCACTCCGCTGTGGCGGCCCGGGGTTCGCAGGTTTGGATCCCGGGCGTGCGCTGAAGCACCGCTTGTCACGCCATGCTGTGGCAGTGTCCCATATAAAGTAGAGGAAGATGGGCACAGATGTTAGCTCAGGGCCAATCTTCCTCAGCAAAAAAAAAAAAAAAGAGGAAGATCAGCATCAGGTGTTAGCTCAGGGCTGATCTCCCTCACAAAAGAAAAAAAGAAAAAAGAAAATGATGCTAAAAATTGCAAATTGCCATATCTTGAAAAGAATATTTGGAATTAGATTAGCTGGTTCCTGTTAATTCTGTTTGAATAAGATTGTACCACTGGCTAATTCTCTTTAGTTTCCTGATCCCTAAATTGGCATACATGCTAGTTCTTAATGTTATAGTGAACATGAAATATAATATAGTCACGCGCCTCATAACAATGTTTCAGTCAACGACTGACTGCATATATGATGGTGCTCCCATAAGATTAGTAGCATATAGCCTAGGCATGTAGTAGGCTGTACCATCTAGGACACTCTATGATTTCGTACAATGAAAAAATCGCCCAATGACACATTTCTCAGAACGTATCCTTGTCATTAAGTGATGCAAGACTATAATGTTCACCAAAATGTTTTGTGAGCTATTTAATACAGTATAAATGTGAGATTACAGTCCAGCTATCAATTTATCCCCTCAACTGTCTCCATATTTGAAATCAAACTCACAGATATTATCTTCAGCATTCCTTGACTCTCTTACTTCTAGTTTAATTTGTTAATGTGGAATCACTCATCCAGAAAACATTCAAGGGGCCCTCAGTGGCCCCGAGTGGGCTCTGGGACTTCTGAGAAGAGCTCTCAATGCAGAGGCAGGCTAAACAAATGATTCCAAAAAAACATGAGAGTTGCCTAATTAGAGCTCAGAGGAAGGAACTGTTACTTCGTCCTACAAGAACAGCATTTGAAATCAGTTCCAGATATGGATGAGTTTCTATTGAACAGCCAACTCCTTAAGAAGTTCTTAAGTCATTTTGTTATTTGTTGTTTCTCAATCATCAAACCTGAAGCTCCTCAGAGCTGGGAGATGCTTCTTCTTATTAGAGTGGGAGGCTCTGAGGGTGGAAATCCTATATCCTTCTTTTTCATCTGGGACCATCCACTGGTGGATGGTGAACAAACTGTTCATATATTTGTAAGCTTCCTTTAGTCAGAAGGTCTTAGCACATCTCTCACTTTAGCATAGCAGAAAAGAACTGAGGTTGAAATCATCAATCAGGTGAATTATGTAAAGATGCATGAAAAAGGCAGTGTATGAGCTTGTAAGTTGTTTAGAGATGGAGCTTTGAATTAGGTACCACTGATACTGTGATCTCAGGCATATATTCAAACATTTCTGAATCTGTTTCCTCATCTATAAATGGGGATACTTATCTCATAGGGTTGTTGTAAGGTTTAAGGGAGTTTATTCAAGTAAAATGCTTAAAATAAAGTCTGAAATATTGTGAAAATAACAAGTGATAGCTCCTATGGTTGCTGTTCTTATTAACTATTAAAATGATGATGATATTGGATATTGAGCTAAAGAGATCAGGAAAGGAAGGCAGCAGTCCCTAAGGTACTCAGTGCATTCCCCTACTCTTACCTGTGTTTGGATCCATAAGGACAATTTTCTTGTCAACAGGATTTGGGAAATACTCACCCTCTGGTGTTTACTCTGTTCCACCCTGAAGTCCACCCAAGAAGGTTTGACTAAAAGGTAGTGAGAAATCAGTGTTTTGGTTGGTAAATGTTTCCAAATTCTGGAGAGTCTCATTAGAGATACAGAATTCTGAGTCAGAGAGTAATGAGTACAAAGATTATCTAATGGTGATTGGAAGATGGTTTCTGTAGTATCATCAAGGCCTATGCTTCTACTGGGGGCATCAAGTAATTTTCTTAAAATGTTGAAAAAATAGACAAAAATCTCATCTATGCTTCATTCTATGTTTATGATGTATCTATTAGATTTATTTTTAAAAAATAAGTTGGGCTTTATGGACAAAAAATACTCAACAAACTAGGAATAGAAGGAAGTTACCTGATAAAATAAAGGTCATATATGAAAAGTCCACCTCTAACATCATACTCAACAGTGAAAAACTGAAAGCTTTTCCTCTAAGATCAAGAACACAAGCAAGGATGCCCACTCTCATCAGTTCTATTCAATAGAGTACTGGAAGTTCTAGCCAGAGCATTAGACAAGAAAAGGAAATAAAAAACATCCAATTTAGAAAGAAAGAAGTAAAATTATGTCTGTTTTCAGGTGACATGATCTTATATGTAGAAAATTCTAAGGATTACACACACAAAAAACTCTGTTAGAACTAATAAACCAATTCAGCAAAGTTGCAGGGTACGAAATCAACACTCAAAAATCAGTTGCATTTCTATGCACTAACAAGAACAATCCAAAAAGGAAATTAAGAAAACAATATAATTTATAATAGCATCAAAAACTATGAAATAATTAGGAGTAAACTTTATCCAGGAGGTGAAAGACTTATACACTGAAAACTACAAAACATTGTTGAAAGAAATTAAGGAAGACACAGTAAATGGAAAGACATCCTGTGTTCATGGATTTGGAAATTTAATATTGTTAAGATGTCCATACTACTCAAAGCAATCTAAAGATTCAATGCAGTCCCTATCGAACTACCAGTGGCATTTTTTGTGAAACAGAAAAAGCCATTGAAAAGTTAATATGGAAGGAATCTCACAGGACCTCAAATATCCAAAATAATCTTGAGAAAGAACAAAGCTGGAAGCTTCACATTTTGTGATTTCAAAACATATTACAAAACTACAGTAATCAAATAGTATGGTATTGGCATAAAGACAGACATATAAACCAACAGAACAGAATAGAGAACCCAGAAATGAACTTTTGGGTATATGGTCAAATGATCTTCATCAAGGGTGCCAAGACTACAAAATGGATAAAGAATAATCTCTTCAATAAATTGTGCTGGGAAAATAGAATTATCCACATGCAAAAGAATGAAGATGGACCCTATCTTACACCATATATGAAAACCAACTCAAAATGGATTAAAGACCTAAATGTAAAACCTGAAATCATAAAACTCTTAGAAGAAAACAAGGGGAACATCTATATGACATTGGAATGGGCAATGATTTCTTGAATATGACACCAAAAGCACAAATAAAAGCAAAAATAGACAAATGGGACTACATCAAACTTAAAAACCTCTGTGCAGCAAAGGATACAATTAACAAAGTAAAAAGGCCACCTACAGAATGGGAGAAAATATTTGTAGAACATATATCTGATAAGGTGTTAATATTCAGAATATATAAAGAACTCCTACAACTCAATAGTAAAAAACCAAATAACCCAATTAAAAATTGGGTGCTATGGATTGAAATCCTAACCCCTGATATGATGGTATTTGGAGATGGGGCCTGTGGGAGGTAATTAGGGTTAGATGAGGTCATGAGAGTGAGGCCCTTATGATGGGATTAGTGCTCTTAGAAAGAACAGAGAGATCTCTCTCTTTCTCTCTCTCAGAGCATGCACGTACAAAGAACAGGTCATGTGAGAACACAGCAAGATGGTGCCTGCCTACAAGCCAGGAAGAGACCTTGACCATCATGGCACCCTGATCTCGGACTTCCAGCCTCCAGTACTGTGAGAAAACAAATTCTGTGGTTTTAGCCACCCACTCTGTGGTATGTTTTTAATGGCAGCCTGAGCTGACTAATACTATGGGTAAAGGACTTGAATAGATATTTCTCCAAAGAAGATATACAAATTGCCAACAAGCATATGGAAAGATGCTTAATATCACTAATCATCAGGGTAAATTAAACCACAATGAGATATTATCTTGTATGCATTAGGATGGCCACTATCAAAAAAACAGACAATAACAAGTGTTGACAAGGATGTAGAGAAATTGGAACTCTTTCACACTGTTGGTGGGAATGTAAAATGTTGCAGCCACAATGGAAAACAGTATGGAGGTTCCTCAAAAAATTAAAAACATAACTGCCATATGATCTAGCAATTGAACTTCTGGGTATATTTCCAAAAAAATTGAAAACAGGATTTTTTTTTTATGTTTTAAAGAAGTTTTTTTTTTATTGATGTGATAATAGTTTATAACATTGTGAGATTCCAGTTGTACATTATTATTTGTCAGTCACCATATAAATGTGCCCCTTCACCCCTTGTGCCCACCCCCCAACTCCCTTCCCCCTGGTAACCACCAAACGAAAACAGGATCTTGAATAAATATTTGCACACCCATGGTCATCGCAGCACTATTCACAATAGCCAAGATGTGGAAGCAATCTAAATGTCCATTGACAGATAAATGGATAAAGAAAATGTGGTATATACCTACAATGGAAAATTATTCAGCCTTAAAAAAGAACAAAATCCTATCATTTGCTACATCACGGATGGACTTTATGCTAAGTGAAATAAACCAATCACAAAAAGATAAATACTGCATGATTCCACTGATATGTGAGGTATCTAATGTAATCAAATTCATAGAAACAGAAAATAGAATGGTTGTTGCCAGGGGCTAGGGGAGGAAGAAATGGGAGTTGCTGTTCAATGGCTATAGAGTTTCAGTCTTGCAAGATGAAAAAGTTCTAGAGATCTGTTGTACAAAAATGTGCACACAGAGGGCTGGCCCAGTGGCGTAAGTGGTTAAGTGCGCGCTCGGCTTCGGTGGCAGGGGGTTCGGGGGTTCGGATCCCAGTGCACACTGATGCACCGCTTGTCAAGCCATGCTATGGCAGCATCTCATATAAAGTAGAGGAAGATGGGCACAGATGTTAGCCCAGGGCCAATCTTCCTCAGCAAAACGAGGAGGATTGGCAACAGATGTTAGCTCAGGGCTAATCTTCCTCAGCAAAAAAAAAAAAAAAAAAAAGTGCACATAGTTAACAATATCATACTGTACACTTAAAAATTAAGATTATAAATTTATGTTATGTGTTTTTTTGCTGTTGTCATGTTTTTCTTTTTTTTTAACCACAATAAAAAAAATGGACTGGGTTGGAGGATCTAGCCCAGCCCAGATAAAAATGTGTAGATGTATGGTAAATCATGGGGTACATGTTCCCTATGAATACCCTCTTTTCATGTCAAAACCTTTGTGGACAACCACATGCTGAGTTTTCATGGTTCTCTTATACTACTTTTAAGAGCCTAAGGAATCAGAAATCCATAAATGGGGAATCAGAGACCTAATCCAAGTTGCTTTCTTCATTTTAGTCAGATTGACTCTTCTAAACTCTCCTGCCTGAGCAGCAGAAGAGGAAGTGCGTTTCTCACTTCTATTTTATAATGATTGCCCTTCATTTTATTCAGCCGATGCTGTCTCGGGTCAGTGACATGTGGGAAAGATCAGAGAGACTAATTCTCTCAAACTCTCACAGAAGCCAGATCAAGAATCAGGTTGGCTTGGGGTAAGAAGATCATGTGGTGTGATTAAATATACATAAATAATGTATCTTTACATAATATGTTAATCATTTCCTCTTCTGAGACATTTAATCCAGTAACTGAAGTATTATGAGATTAGTGTTAGAAAGCTCTTTGGTGGATTTACAGTTTAATTGAGGTTTCTTTAGTTGCTTTTTCATTAATTAACAATGGTTAGCAAAGATAATCTTTTTTTAAAAAAATGATAAATTTTAAACATATAGAAAAGTATGGAGAATTATACTGGAAAAGCTATACATCCATCATTCAGTCTTATCTCAACGTTCTGCCACAATGGCTTCAGATGTTTTTAGTTCCATGTCAAAATTCAAAAATAAGGATAAAAACAAACGAAAAACTAAGCAAGACACAGCGAACCCACCTGCCAGCCTTTCCTCCTTTTCTTGTGATAACTATTCTGAATTTGGTATTTCTTATTCATATTCAGTTTGTTATATATTGACTTCTTATTAATGTGTCCATAAATAGTATATATAATTATTTTACACTTTATATGAATAGCCCCTTACTGTACAATATGCTGTTTTTCATCTTGCTTGTTTGCTGAACATTTATGTTTTTGAGGAAACACAGTTTCCTCTGTCGACTCCTGAGATGCAGCTGAGACCTACACCAGGTCGGTTCCAGAAGGACACCTCTGAATCCTCCTGGCCCTCACCTTGCTGCCTGGGCGTCCATTCTTCGTCAGAATCCTCAGCGTCATCCTCCCGGCGTTTGACGGCCTGCCTGTGGTGACACTTGAAAGCTGGTCGAGGGGCCCTGAGACCTGGAAAGAAGCAAGTGCTTCGTCCCAGCAGGGAAGAGCTGGAAGGAGGGACAAAGCCCACAAGGCCAGTGAGACTCGGCTGGACGGGCTGGGAGAGCCCGGAACGAGGCAGACGCGAGCTCCGCAGTGCTGGTGCGGCCCCGCACTGACACAGAAGAACAAATCCCTGCAGATCTGTCTCCACGCGGAGGGACTGCGGGCAGACGGAGCCCCGAGAGAGAGCCCGACGGACGCAGGGCTGAAGGCCTGCGCGTTTCCCCGGCTCGTCAGCGGCCAGCACCTCGCGTTGCCTATGGAAGTCAGCGCTTCCCAGTTCCTCTTGGCGTTCCTGTGCCGGGTTTTCTCCCCGTCTCCCACCTCTGTCCATTCGTCCTTGGAGAAATACGTGGAAACGTCGTTGAAAGCAACTTTGGCCTCGAGAGAATGACAGATTCCATTAGTGACTTACTGACATAGTCAGACGTCGAGCTGGGCCGTCCCCTGACCCTCGTGTGCACACGCAGCCTAAGCCTCCGGGCGGCCTCCGTGACGGGGGTGAAATCTTGCTCTCCTCCCGACTGTGTCCGATGAACTGAGCCCACACTGAGCATTCTCCCGGCTCTGCCCGACGCGGAGCAGCTGCTGCCGCTAGTGTCCTGTCCTCCCCCACGTCCGGACGGGACCGGGCCACCCGGTCTGCACATTCACAGGGAGGGCCACCCGGCGGGCAGGCCGGAGCGGGGGTCTCCGGGGCCAGTCCTGTCACCAGGTCCCTCCGCGTCCCGTCCACAGACCCCCCCCACCGCGCCCCCCGTGCGCTTCCACCCTGTTCTCCCCGTGTTCCCCTCGAGGCTCTCCTCTGCGGACCTGGCGGAGCTCATGGTGCCGGGACCGCCAGCCGGGCCTCCCTCCGACTCTGCGTCTCCCGGCGCCAAGGCCCAGGCTCCTGTGGAAGGAGAAGGTGCTGACAGGGGCGACAGCCCGGACCCCCGGGCTTCCTCCTTCGGGCAGGGTGTCCAGAGCGGGAAGATGCAGGGACCCCAGGGAGGATCAGAGGATGCGGGGAGAGTCTGGGGGTATCGAGGGGACCAGCCGGATGGAGGTGGATGTTGTTTCTTCAGTTCCTGCGGCTTCATGAGGAGAGGCGGCCAAGGCGCCTGGAAGGAGTGGCGGGGAGGTCTGAGGGGAGTCTTGAGGCGACCTGGAGGCCCGACTGCTGGGACGGGGGTCAAGCTGACCATCCGGAGAGGAATATTTCTCATAGAGGGTCTTTGGGGATCTCCACTGGGGGATTCTGGAAAAACCCGGGCATAAGGCAGGCTGGCACAAAGATCTCTCAGGCTGAGGGAACTGGGGTTTCTCAGGTCTAGCGGATTTGGGGTCTCAGGCTCGAGAGATTTGGGGTCCCTCAGGCTGATAGTATTTATGTTCTCTCAGGACAGGATTTGGGGTCTTTCAGGCTGAAGAGATTTAGAATGCTCAGGCTGAGGGGATTTGGGATCTTTGAGGCTGAGGAAATTTGAGGTCTTTCAGGCTAAGGAGATTGGAGTCTCTCTTTGAGGGTTCTTTAGGTTCTCTGACATTGAGGTTAGTCGGGGTCTTTGAAGCTGAAGGGATTAAGAGCTCCTAGCTCTGAGGCCGAGGAAATTCGGTCTTTCTGTGGGGCTATATTTAGGGTTTCTCAGGCTGAGGGGTTTGGGGTTACTTGGAGAGTCTAAGCATTAGGGGATTTGGGGTTTCTCTGGGTGAAGGGATTTGAGGTCCCTGAAGTTGAGGTGCTTTGGGGTCTCACGCTGAGGAGACTTGAGGTCCCTCCAGGTTAGGGGATTTTGGGTCCCTCAATGTGGCAGGATTTGGTGTCCCTTGAGGCCAAGGGAATTTGGAGCCTCTCAGGGTGAGGGGATCTGGGGTCTCCCAAGCTGAAATCGGAAGGTCTCGGGCTGAGGGTTTGCACGGCAGGCTAAAGGCCCCGGAGTTGCTGTCAGTCTCCTCGGCTCCTCCCGCGCTGCCCACCCTGGCCGGGCGCCCTCTCCGAACACGGCGCGCTTCCCGCCCTCCGGAGGTGAGACACCGCGGAGGGCAAGGTACCGGGTTGTAACGCCCTGTCAAGCACAAACCGCCAATCGGCGCTGCGACCCCAGCGGTCCAGCCAGTTGGCGGTCAGCAGGGGCTAAACGGGGGGAAGCGTGCCTGTTAGTCACCGGCGGAACTCAGCCCTGAGCTCGCGCGGTCGGAGCGGGGCGCGGCTTCCCTCGCCCCTGTATGAGGTCCCGCCCCACCCCGCGGGGATTGGCTGCTCTGGGTCCTGCGCACGTCTGTCAAGAAGCCTCGAGCGCGCAGTCGCAGTCTGGCGGTTTTCGCGGATCCAGACCCGGGCGTCGGTGAGGTACTGACCGGCAGGAGCCATCACGACCACCGGCCAGACCAGGCTAAGCCTGGAGCCTCGAGCGCGCGGCAGATCTTTAGGGTGGATGTGGCCATTCTGTGCCCTGATAAAGATTCTTTGCTTGACCAGACTTTAGTCAGGCGGCCCATCTCTGCCCTTCCTTGTAAAGTCCACCTCTCAGGTGGACCTCTCAGGTCCCTTGGGAACGGTGCTGGGTGGGGATCTGGGAGTCGAGAGGGAACAGGGAGGGAGAAGGGAGTTTGTAGAAGATGTGAGACAATCCACTTACTCGCAGATGCCTTGGGTGTTGCTCTGCCGGGCCTGGTCAGTGCAGAGGTGGTGGTGGATCTTGTGCCGGAGCATCCACGTGGCCCCTGTTCGGCTGACCTGTTGGCATCGCTGCTCAAAGAAACATGAGAGTTTGAAAAGGCGCAAGAGCTGACCTGTGGTTGTTCCAGGAAGCCTGGTGTCTGGATTGTTCTCCCTAATCTAAATATATCTAAATCTAAGAAGCCCTACAAATTCTAAACCAGATAAATAAAATAAAATTTCGTCAAGGACAGAGCATAGTAAAACTGGTAACAACCCAAAACAAAGAGAAAACCTTAAGATCTGGTGGTGAACAAACAGATTACCTTTGAAGGAGGCATCAATTAGACTTAGAAATGGTGTTGTAACAGAAAAATTAAAAGCCAGAGAACAATGAAGTTTTATCTTTAATCTGTTTAAAGAAAATAATTTCCAATTTAGGATTCTAACTCTGCAAAATATCACGCAAGAGTGAAGGTGAAATAAAGACATTTTCAGAAAAACAAAAACTGAGACAATATGTCAACACCAGACTCACTCTAAACGGTGTTTTTTAGGCAGAAAGAAAATTATCCCAGTTGGAAGTTCTAGATGCTGGAAAAATTTAGGAAAAAATGAAGTATAAATTTAAATAAATATGAACTGCATAAAATAATTTAGTTTAAAATGTGTATGGAATTATAATAAATAAAAACAGTAGCATGTAAATAGGGTGGCATGTAAAGAGATCTAACTCCATCGTTCAGGAAGAGGGAAAATACCAAGTACCATTAAGCTTTGGTGAGTCAATGATGCATACTGTAACCATGAGATAAAACTGCTAAAACATTAATTTAAAAAAATGTATAGCTACCAAGCTTCAAGATGAAAAAAGTGGAATGAGATACAAGGGAATAAATGCACCATTTAAAATAGCAAAACCGGGGCTGGCCCGGTGGCTTAGCGGTTAAGTGCACGCACTCCGCTGCTGGCGGCCCGGGTTCGGATCCTGGGCGTGCACCGACGCACCGCTTCTCCGGCCATGCTGAGGCCACGTCCCACATACAGCAACTAGAAGGATGTGCAGCTA